GATGTACCCCCTTACAAAAAATGAAAAAATTGGTTAAAAAATAAATTTTCATAAAAGTGATGAGGATCGTTAGCATTTTAAGCAAGCTGCTCAAAACAGTCGGTCTTTTAGCTGTACGCCTTGAATTGGATGAACTACGATGAAAAAACCAAAAAAAAATGTCGCATTTTTGACAAAAATCTGAATTTCGTATTTTTGACAAAAATGTAAACCCTTTTTTCGCCAAAAAAAATCGGTTTCTTGGCTGCCATAACAAAAATATAAGTCAGAATGAGGAATGTCATACCTCGTTGAGCTCGTTGCTTAATTTCCAATATATTGGCATTCAAACCTGAAAATTTTTTTATTTTTGCCATTTCTCGCAAAAATAGATGATGTACCCCCTTACAAAAAATGAAAAAATTGGTCAAAAAATAAATTATCCTTAAACTGATTGGATTTGTTAGCGGAGGTTGCAAGCTGCTCAAAACAGTATGTCTTTTGGCTGTACGCCTTGATTCGAATAAACTACGATTGAAAAACTGCGAAAAATCGAGTAGTTTTGACTACAAACTAAATTTTGTATTTTCGCTGGCATAACACTTTACTTTAGCTACCTTTTTTTCGAAGAAAGTTCACTGTAAGTGGCACTGCAAGTGCAACATCCAGTTCAACATTGACTTTGCTGGGATGCAAGACAAACAATGTGGATGGCTCTGGGATCCCCTGATGAGGACCGGCCAATAAGCAGCTTTTTGACTTTGACTTTGCATTCCGGGTGCATGGTATTAATGGGTGTGGGGATATTCTATGGTTATTCCTTTGACGACCACCCGCAGCAAGAGGATTGCGAGCAATTCGATTGATTAGGAGGGCACATACATCAATTTGGGGGAGATCCCGGCTTGCCCAACGAGAATCCTCTTGAGGAAATTGCCAGCACACAGGAGCCACATTTACAGACCAAACAAAATAAAACCTATCCAACCCTCGAGTGTGGCAAATATCAAAGTCAAAGAAACGTGAAGTGGCCGAGAACAGGAAAAACAAGCGAGTGCTGGGGAAAAGTGGGCCAGAAGGGGCAAGTATTTTGCACTAAAAGCGAAACTACTTAGCATTTGCCATCGAAGTCGGACTCGAAATGTGTGGAGTTGGCCAGGCGGAAACGGAAACAGCCAAGGAAGCGGAAGGAGCGGAAGGGAAGGAGAAAGTCTGGGCCTCGAGGAATGAGGTCAAGAGACAGAATAGGCTTACTGACATGTAGGTCCGACTTTCTCTTTCCCTTAAATATATGTGAGTGTGTGCAAGCCACCCTCTGCGGGAATTTAACGGTCAAATCCCTTGACTTTCGCCGGCCAGAAAGTCATTCCTCGAGGTTCTTTAACCTTTGCCATCGCTTCCTGCAGCTTTTTCGCACCCACTACTTGACAGGGATCTTAAATTCGGGAGAGAAATGAATCAAGAAAAATACATTTATAACAAAATACAATACCTTTAGCAGAAAAAATAAAAATTAAACTTTGAAAATCACTGAAAATCACTGATAAAAAATGATGCAATCAATTTGGAATGAATTATTTAATATTAAAATATTATATTCTAGGTGGAAAATTTGGGATATGATGTCATTCAAATTTACTTTAACCATTTTATTAAGAATTTATTTTGAAAATCTATTAAATTATTAATATTAATTGTTATTTATTAAATCTTAAATTATTAAAAACTTCAATGGCTTAAAATAATAGCGATAAATATTTAAGCAGACTTGGAAATCATTGGACTTACTATACATTTTTTAATCAATAAATAAAGTAACAATATTATTTTAATCTTTAAGCTTAAAAAATAAAAGTAATAAGTACATTCAAGTCGCAATGGATAATGGTTAGCACTTTTTTATATATTTTCTCTTCTTTTTTGGCTGAGCTTACGCTTAATTAACTCGTTTGATGCCATACCAATCCATATGAAGATGGCCATTTGGTTGACCGCTTTTAGCCCCCCTTGACTTCGCCTTTGGATTTGGATTTGAATTTGGTTTTGGCTTTGGCTTTGATTAACCGATAGAATTTGTTTGATTTATACCCGAACTGGTGGGTGAGCAGGAAAATAGGGTATTAATTATGGAGAGTGATCCATTCATTCCCCGAAAACAAGCACCGGGACATGTTTAATGAACAGTTTACTGTGAAATTGTCAAGAAAATGCGTGTTTAAGCCAGATTAAATGCAGCTGGCCACTGATTTATGGCCATGTTGCTCCCCACTTCACACTCGAATTCGTTGCGCCTGGCATTGTTTACTCCAATTATTTATGGGTCAACGGATCATCTTGAACAAGTTGGAAAAGGCAGCGAAAACAAAGGCCCCACAAATGGGGCGATATCAAATTTCCAGTGAGTGTGTTGCGTGTTGCAGCAACATGTTGGTGCCTTACGCTTTTCTCTGGCTTAAAACTATATGGCCAACAAGTTGGAAGGAATAGGAAACTGGCTTGAATCCAGTAAACCATTGTGGGTGAGTGAGTTCAGGTGGAGGGGGCGTCCGCATATCGAAAAAGTAATTAAAGGCCACGAAAGTGGAGGCTGCTAAATGCTGATGCCAGTCGCAGCCGAAACCTGCCCCTGCCACGCCCACCGAAAGTCCTGTCAAGTGCAATACGTGCCACATGCAGTTGCCAAAAACAGAAGTGCCCGGCCAGCAATAATGTGGCAGCAGTTGGCAATAGCTTCGAAAATCCAACGGCCTTTCAAATACCCTCTCCTCTTTCTAAAGGAATATCATGTTTAATCTTAACTCTGTAGGTCTTATGGTTCCCGAGATCTCCATAGGTGGTTATATAACTTGTAAGGCCGGAAGGACTTTTTCTAAGTTTATATATTCTCATAAATCTGTGTCTTTAATCTTAGTTCTCTAGGTCTTATGGTTCCCGAGATCTCCATAGATGGTTATATAACTTATAGGGCCAGGAAGGTTTTTTACGATTATTTAGTAAGATACCGCCAGCAAATATTTCTAAGTTTATATTATTCTCATAAAATCTGTGTCTTTAATTTTAGTTCTGTAGGTCTTATGGTTCCCGAGATCTCTAAAGATGGTGACATAACTTACAAAGTCGGAAACGGGGTTTTCCAATGATTGTTTTTTTAAAACACCATATATTGGATGATATATTTCCAACTAAATATTCCTTAGATTACATTATTCTCATTAAATCATTACCGTGTTTAATCTCAATTCTCTAGGTCCTATGGTTCCCGAGATCTTTAAAGATGATTATATACCTTATAAGGTCGAAAAAGTTTTTTGTACTATTATTTTTTAGGATACCTTATATTGAATTGTGTGAGAAATTTTTTAAGACTGTTACAATTTAAAATCTAGTTTTATTTCTATATCTCAAAGAAGGCTTACTGCATATATGTACATAGGTATATCTATAAAATACCGGACAACACAAAAAGTACGAATATACTTGCGCTGTACAAACGTATGATTTTAATTAAATCATTGTATTTTGTGAACGTTTTTGCCAAATTCGATTTGGGATCGTCGGAATTTCCTGCATGTACTGGCACACACACACAACTAACTTGGCCCTCCTGCAAAATAATTTAACACGATAGGGCACATGCTATTCCGGACTTATCACACAGTTAATGCACTCGGAACCTTTTCAGGGGGATGCCGCAAAAAGAGCAACAATGGCTATATGGCTGCATACCTACATGCAACAAGGGGCAGATACAAAACGCATCCGTTTTGTGCAACGTAATCGACAATTATCAGCGACATGAGCAAACCAATTGTTCAGTGCCCCGTGTCCGCAGTCTGATATCCTGCGTCCTTCGTCCACCGTTCCCCGTGTCCCGTGTCCCGGATTCCTGGCATCCTGGCATCCTGTTTATGAGCAGGAAGAGAGCGATAGGCTCGCGGCCAGGACTCCATTTAACCCGCCAACTAGTCCATTTGTGTGTGTAATTGTTTGCCAGCGACACTGATTACGAAATCCAAAAACACTAGCAAACCAAATACATATTAAAATGGAGTCGAACTCTATGGATCAGATATTTTCTACATTTTGTTTACCAGAACCTTAATTTTATTTGCTAAAATCGATTATAATATATCGCAAATATATCACATTTTCAAAAAAGATTAGTAAGCAAAATAGAATTTTCAATGGTTTTATATATTTTTGATCAAACAAAAACACCTTTTAACAAAGTAAAAACTAGTGATGAAAACTAGTGATTCAACATACAAAACATCGATGACGGCAGCTAGGCTGTCATCAAAAAGTTATAGATGACAGCAACTGACTGTCATCAACAATTCATCAATGACAGCAGTTAGGATGTCATGAAAAATTAATCGATGAGAGTAGCAGGCTGTCATCAACAATTCATCGATGAGAGCAGCTAGACTGTCATCAACAATTCATTGATGAAACAAATTGCTGTTATTTACAATTCCAAGATGACAGCAGCTAGAATGTCATCAACAATTCACCAATGACAGCAGCAAGGCTGTCATCAGTACAAAATTCATAAACTTTTTTATCCACATGTCAGTCACGAGAAGTTCATCAGAAAACTTCGATGTTGTTTAGTGTACAGAAACAGAAACGTTTTTCAATATCAATTTCTCAATCAAATGGTTATTTTGTTAGCCAGTGTAACAGCGAAATGCCATGTCACGCCTTTTGAACTTCGAACCCCCATCCTCCCTCCTAAAACTCAACCACCCGTTTCGGACAAAGTTACATTTATTAAATTCTTCTTAACACTCCTTACAGCTAGGCAAAAAAAGGAAATTATAAAAATTACAAATTGGAATAGGATAAGATAATTACAACGAAAACGAAAATACATTTAGAAACATACGGCTAAATAAAAAAAAATAATATATGTAATTGTACACATTGTTTTAGGATTAGGATTTGGGAATGGGATTGGTTATGGGTTCAAGAATAAAGCGGGAGGTCCAATATATATTGTAGCATTTCAATCCATTTCATTTTGTAATCTAGTATTTTTTTTAATGAATTTTAATTTAATAGCATCGAATCGATTTACTAGCACTAGAAATTCCTGGTATTTCGAATCACTTTCCGGTTCTCCCCACTCCCGATCCCGATTCCCTTAGCGGAATGTGAGTATGTACATGAGGATGGGATTGTAATACGCTGATCCCGCTCTCATCTCGCCTAACAATCCTTGACCTTGACCTCCTCCTGGACGAATCCTTGGTTCTCGATGCCCCGTGTTTCGTGGGGTCGCGAGGTCACCGCGTTGCTAGTGTTAGTGGGTGGATCGGCATGCTCCAGGGATTCGTGTATCACATTGGCAATGATGCCGTTCATCTGACCCTTGCCCTCGCTGGCCAAAACCAAAGCTTCGATGGCGTTGATATTGCCATTGGGATCCTTGACGGAGGCGTTTTCCGCATCCGAGGAGGCTAGTTTCCGTCGCTGGCGAACCTGGAAGCGGTACATCCATCTAGGAAAGAGATTCAGTTAATATTATTACAATTCTGGGAAGGTCAGAGATCACTCTTACAGGAATATGAACACAGAAAACAGGGTGAGACCGCCGCCGAGGAGGAAGAAGGCTCCTGGCAGAACCCTCAGACTGGCCGCATACAGAGTGGTGTACATGGGGGCAAAGACCATGGGCATCAAGGCCTCCGCCACGCCAAACAGCGAGTTCACCTTGCCCAGTTCATCTTTGGACACCAGTTTGGTGGCTATAGACCTCATCGCAATGAAGGCTGTTCCATTAAAGATCTCCACCAGTCCGCCCAGATACATATGCCATGGTAGTGTGGCAAAGGCATAGACGAAGGACGACAGGATCTTCGAGGTGCTGGACAAAACGCCCACCAGGGCATCATCGATGTTCAGCTTGTGCGACAGCACGCCCACGCAGAAGATCACGCCGATGAGACCCGTGAACATGGCATAGGTCGAGAAGAAACTGAACTCCACCTCAGACCAATTGAAGCGGAATCGCGTGAACAAATACGTCACTGCCATCTCACCGTGGAGCGGACCAATGATTACCATCACCACTATCATCAGCAGGATGACCCGTTTGCGACGCTGGTTCTCGCCTTTTTTGAAGGCCACCCGGAAGGTCTGGACCACGTGATCCCTGTCGAAGAAGTCCGCCAGCAGGCTCTTCTGCTCCCCGGCAGTCTTCTCCGGTCGGGCCACCGGCTCCTCCAAGAAGAAGAACCCGTAGACGAAGGCTATCACGTAGAAGGCAGCCGAGATCGAAAATACACCATAGAAGCCAATTTGCCTGGAAAGGAGTTTGGAATTTAATATACGACTTATATTTTTTTAATAATAAATGCTATTTTAATTCTATAACCAGAATAAAAAGACGTTCTCGATCAATTCAATCACAAATTCTCAATATCAAGTACACTTTACTCTCGAAAAACCAAAATCAAGACTTATTTCATCTCTAATGAGATTGTCATCTCTAAAAACAAATTCAAGACTTAATTTATCTCTATTAAGATTGCTTCATCTCGAAATGCAATATAAAGAATAATTTTATCTTGATTTCAAGTACGTTTCTTCTTGAATAGATAAGAAAAAACAAATTCTCGAAGTGAGAGCATGTGATCTTGGCTTTCTTACGTTCCTAATTCTTCTGAGATTATAAGCAACCAATTTTTATACAAATTACTGTCTTTTCTTAATCTTCTACCAATTAAAAATATAGATAAAAGACTCACTTGAGCAGGACTCCGCTGAAGGCCATTCCGATGGGCACCCCCACCGAGAAGCACACATTGAGGATCCCGATCCGCAGCGTGCGGTCCTCCTCCGTGGTGATGTCCGCTATGTAGCTGAAGACCCCCATCAGCATGGTGAACCATCCGCCGCTGAGGGAGGGGAAGATGGCCTCCGTGAGGGCGGCCGCCTCCATGGGCGCCTTCTCGAAGTAGACGCACAGCATCAGGCCCACCACGCCGAGGAACTCGCCCACCACCGGGATGAGGATGCAGGGCTTCCGCCGGCGGTGGCGGTCACTCCAGGATCCCCAGAACAGGATCAGCAGGCAGGGGAACAGGGACTGGATCACCGTCTTCCAGGCGGCCATCCGCGCCACCATCTGCTGCACCGTCTCTTCCTCTCTAGAAAAAAAAAAAATATTTCAAAAAGCTGGTCAACACCTAACTTTAATGAATGGGAAAAGTATTTTTAAGTTACAATTATTTTTTAGGCACTAATTTTTTAGATAATCTAATTATTTTGTATTTATTTGAGTGTGATATCAAACAGATTAAAACCATTAATTTCATTTCAATTTAAATGTTTCCGCTTTGATTTTTATCCATGTTAATTTCTGCCAACATTCTGACAAAGATGTTAAACATCAAACAGATTAAACTTATAGCTATTTTAAAACCCATTAAAATAATTTTGAATTTAAATGTTTCCGCTTTGATTTTTATCCATGCCATTCTAATAACATCAAATTGAACAATTATAGCTAATTTAAAGATTTAAAACTTTGATTTTGTTATGAAATTCTTTGTATTAATGACAAGCACAAACAACATATGATTCACATATTTTACCATTACATCATGAAATGCGAAATTTTGAATTCCAATTCCAGACCCTAATTTGTACTAAATAACCTAATGTAGATATAAGATAAAATGGTTCATGTGATATTATAGTAGTTGTCTAATTATTTTTAATTTTAGTTTGTATTCTTTCCTAAATAACTTAAGCTTAATTAAAATTAAGGGTTACATATTGCTTTCTAAAATATAAAAAGAAGTGCCTAAAAGCATATGCCAAAGGAAGAGTACTTTGGCTTTCTGATAAACAATATTTCAATGCATACTTTTGGGCACATTTGTAAAGAGTTTTAAGTTGCCAATGATAAATATAATATTTTAAGTAGGTATATAGTATGGTATGGTATACTATATGGTAAAGGTTTTCTATAACTTAAGACCTTAATGACTCACAGTGTGTAGTTGGCTGTTTGGCGGCGGGTGAGAGCATCGCAGACCTCGTCCCCGTAGGCCATGTTCACCCGGCAGGCCTTCTCCAGGTTGAGGTTCTGGGTGGCCAGGTTGGAGAGCACGCTGGGCATGATGTAGGCGGCCAGGATGGGTTCCACGGTGACGTTGTTGGCCACCAGGCGGATCTTCTCCCGCCAGGAGCGTTTCGGGGGCGGGGTCGTTGTGCCATTGTCCTTTTCCTTGGCCATCGTTTTGTCCACACCGGTGGACTGTGTCGTCATCGTGGTCGCCGGAGGCGGTGGCGGTGGCTCATGGTTCACCGTGTATTTGGCGAACTTGGCATCGCCCAGGCTGCCGTCCTTGGGTGACATCCTGCTAAAGGAGTAGAAAGGATCTGGAAGTCAAAAAAATATTTTGTAAATAAATTTTATAAAGATTATATGATACTACTATATAAGAACTTAATTTTAAAGACCCATAAGAATTCATAAACTCATTAAATAAATTGTTTATACTTTAATGATGTACCCAATATATTTTTAAAGAAGTGAAAAATCTATAAACAAACATATGGGAAGCAAACAGAGTGCCCTATTAGCACTTAGCTTTTAGAACAACAATATCATTTAAATTTCAAATAAATATTCCCACAACAGTTATTGAACTTAACTTTAACTGTTTACATCTATCAACATAAATTTAAAACTTGAGGAACATCTGTATTAACAGATTTGCAACTGATTGAATAATGGGACTAGAAATAAAACGTCAGGCAGACATTTCTATACTCTACCCACTCTCGAAAACAATTAAAAATAAATGTAGGACAGATGTCCATCATTATTCTTTAAATATCTAATTTTTATCTGAATCCTAACTTGTGTCTTTAAACAGATTTAAATGAAGGCCAGTGACCTACTTAATGGTTTGTTTAATTCCCAGCTTTTTTTGGGGGCTATTTAGTCTCGCCTCACCAAAACTTAATTTGCTTTTGTTATCTAACGCGAATTGTCATAAACACGGAATTGATAAATTTAATTAAAAGCCCATTAACAAGGTTCTTTGCACTGCTAATCTTTTATCTGGCTTTATTACCACAGTTGCCACCCTTGTTTTAATTGCGCTGCTTCATTATACATTTACGAAATCGTGTCAATTTTGAATTTATTGCCCCGAATTGTGCTAGGGAATTGGGAGATGGCCCTTTCTGTTTTTGTAAAATTTTTAAGGTAATTATTTAGAGTACATTTATTGGTTGTATAAATGGCATTGCATGTTTGTATATTGATTTCTGTTTGATTAACCCTATTTTTAATTTGTGTCAGCACTTCAAAATCAATCAATTATCACTATCATTTTAAAAAGAAATCCTATTTAGGTCTTAATAATATATTTAGGATACATTTTTTAACCTTTATAAACTACATTTCCTGCTTGAGGCCTTATGACACCTTCTTTTTTTTTAATTAACTGACAACTCATGGCAACCAAAATATGACATAATATATTATTTCGTAAAATATTGTTAAGCTTTTCTTTTTTTTACTAGGCTGCCCTGACTTTTTAAGTAAATCAAGCAAGTGTTGTTCACCCTTTTTTTAAATGGTGTCAGCATTTCACTTGTCGAAGTCAAAATCAATCAAAGTGAAGCGTCAACATGCGATTTCTGAAGGTTGTTGTGTTATCATTAACTCATTGGGGGGGTTGGGGTTTTTTTATCGGAACTTGAAGCACCTGCTAGTACCCATCTTTTATCTCTTGAAAACCCACTCCAGCATCCGCTAATGAAGTTAGTTCGGAGTGGAAACCCCAACATCTTTTTGGTTGTCATGCCGATTCGATTGCAAAACGTAATTAGTGGAACTCCGATCTCTAGGAACGAAATCTCCGGTTCTGCAGCTTTATCAGCCCCCCTTGGGATTTGGAAATCCCAGACAACAACGACGACGACTACGATTTCGTTTTTTTTCACCTGCCTTTTTGTCTCGCATTTTGTTGCGTTGTGGCTTTTAATTGTTTTGCTTAGTGCATTTGTTTTTGTTCGTTAAAAGTGTTTACACAATTGTTGCCACATTTTGGCTTAAAGCATATGCCCGTCTAGATGTCATACGTACTCCCCACCGCCCCCAACTTCACGTGCCAGGCGCAATAACCTTATCGCAGAGAATTCTTGCCCAAGGCAATATGTAAATTATTAAGGAACCTCAATGGGTATAGATAAAGATATTGAAACGCATGGGAGATGGGCAATCAAAGATGGGTGATATAGAATAATTACATTTTCATCTATATATAAAGTGCAAGCTAGAAATTTGGAGAGTTATCTTGGTTGTAAAAACTAATATACTTACACCTTTTATATTTTTACCAAAAATTCTTGATAAAGTGTAGGTGCACGTGAATAAATGATTTTGAAAAATTCGAAGCCCTAATAATTTTTTAAAATATTTTAAGTCCCTTAAATGCACCTCTACAAGTGGTTGTTGCATTTTTCACTTTCAATTTAATCATAGCGAACCTTACACCCTCTATATTTTTACCAAAACTTCTTATGATAGTGTAGATGCCCTTGTGGAAATTATTTTAAGAAATTCAAAGCCCTAATAATTTTTAAAAATATTTTAAATCCCTTAAATGTACTATTTCCGGGTGATAAAAGCTCCCTCTATCAATGTTTTTTGCATTTTTCACTTTCAATTTAATCATAGCGACTTTCGACTTTAGCACTAAACTAAAATTAGCCAAAATTAGGCAAAGCTAATTGACCCTGACAGGTGATCACACACGAACACACACCCAAGCATCTTGGTCATAAAGTGCAGCACTGACCGTTTTAATCTCCAACTTCCGTCGAGCGATGACGCAGAGTAAAAAACACATAGAAAGCTATTGCGAACAAAGTCCACACTTAGAATTGGATGTCTGGTGTACAGTGAAGCTTGGAAACAATGATCGAATGCGAGTCACTCAGTAGTTTATTTTCCCTGTTCTACATTGTCTTTTGTTTATATAAATAGAAAGGTGTATTCAAGTTTTACCCAAGTAAAATGACGCTTAGTTGACCTAAATCATTTAACCAGAACTACTGTGTAAATAATAAAAATACAAAAGCAAACATTTAGCTTAAACAATGCTTTTTCGGACATGTTTAATGACCATTACTAGGTATTTTGTTATACTTTTGAGGTTTGAAACATTGTGTTTTAGAACGCTTAATGCCTAAAGCGTGACATTTTCATTAAAATGCATTTAAAACGTCTCAGCTTTAACCCTAAATTCTGCCCTGAATCTTTACTTATGGCTCATGAATTGTGAAGACTCGTCTTTGGAGTGTTCGTAACATTGGAAATCGAGTAGATCTTGAGGTCTGCAATGTCTGCACTTTCTGCATTTTGTGCAATGATCCAATGCCATTCAATCAGACGTGCGTTGAACCCAATTAAAGCAGGAAGAAACGCTATTGAGGTCACTTGGGGCCAACGCGTCGATCGGTCACGTCAACATCGATTTGGCCACCAATCACCATATCACCATATAACCATATCCATAAGGTGGGTACCGGTACGCCACGAGGTGCATACTAACCAGCCTAATCGATGGTTATGGCCATGTGCAAATTCAGGAAGCATTTGTTCAGATGGTCTCCACTGGCTGACTATGTGAAACTAGGAGTGGGACACTGAGAAAAAGATATAGCAATAACAGATCCTGAAGAAGATTTCCTTTTTTTAGTATTTTGTTTTCATAATAACTATAATGGTCTTAACTTTTAAATCATCTAATCACAGTCATCTTGAATTTTCTTAACTTTTTATAAGAGTAGAAAAATGGTTTGTTATTTCGAAAGACCACTGTGATAGTTTAATATAAATTGTATAGTATTTCTTTTTGTAACTAAAACACAGATTATCATTTTAAGTTGTAAGCTATTGTTTTCTTTTTTTTTACTTAATATTATTTATTTATTTAAAAGAATTCCTGGTGGAACAAGCACTAGTCACTGATCATAAATTAGCTTTGAAATGACAAAAACTAGCCATAATAAACTCTCATCTCTTTACTCCGAAATCACAAGTGCGTGAATTAAAAGCTATAATTAGAACTGTTTAATGGGAAAACGTTTTTTTGGGGTTTTGGCTTTATATTATTGCTTAAACATTCGAAATGTCATGCTGACATGGTTGGAAAAATTATCCCCGCACAAAACCACTTTTTGACTCTTCCCACGATGTGAATCACGGTGAATAAAACAAATGACAGAGGAATTACAACGATTATTACCAAATATTTGGCGAGTGCCTATCGTTTTTTTTCCACCCCCATACCACTCCATTATTGTGCTATTATTTAATTTTCTAATCTTTGTTTGAGTTTTTCGGGACGTTTTCCCAATGTTGCTTCGCTCATTTCCGGTTGCGTTTGACAAAACTTTTCACACAAGCGAATCGAACAAGCGATGGCGCTCCAAATTACCCATTTACGTTATTAATTGCATGTCTATGACAGATACAATTAGATATATGAGTGTGGAATCGCAGATACGGCGACGCTACACGGATACGGATACAAAGATACAAAGATACACGGCCCACCGGAGTCTGGCCGTGACACAAACAAAGTTCTGCTTTAGTCGGGCCACTAAATTGGAAATAATTAAATACAATTAGCTGGCGAAAAAAGAAAAACTTTTCTTCTCGGATTTATTTATGCACAATTCAATGGTAAAATTAGCCGCTAAAAATATTTAGACACACGAACGCAAGCTGGAATCATATCGTGTGCACAGAAAACAATTTCAACCTTTGTAATAGGTGACATTACAAATGTACCTATTAAGGCTATTTTAAATTATATAAAAAATGTATTTTTTTCTCTGCAGACCTGTTGGCAAATCGCGGAAGTTCCGGATAATCCAAAAAAATAAAAGTAAGCAGATGCTCTGGAAACAGACTAGCAAAACAAAACTTGAAAAAAATAAATAAAGAAAGCTATAGTTGACAGACTCGACTATAAGATACCCACTATTTAAACTTTTTTTATATAAAATATATTTTCTTTAAGCAATTTCAAAAGCTTTGGATGTGGAAAATTAGAATTTCTTCTCCGTGATCTTTAGAAAACTCGTGAGTTTGATCTTATCGGGCAAAACAAAATCCCCTTTTAGAATCGGAAATGATTCTATCTGCATCTTGTATTCTCTTGGGCACGAATACAATATATACAATCCGAGTAACGGGTACGAATCTCTATTCGTCGGCGATCAAAATAATGATAAACGAACCACTAATTTGGGCAATCAAACAATAGCGCAAAACACGGATTTCATTTTGCAACGGAGACAGAAAACGCCGCAGAAAAAAATGTGAAAACAACCGAAATTAGAATAAATTAAATACGATTTCAGGCCATAATTATAATTAATTGGGCTTGACAAATCGCCTGGGATGGTACGAGATTGTCACTGGAATTTAGATTTAAGAGAAGGGTTGCCGAAATTTTCCATTAAAAAATCAAATATATTGTTCCGATTTGCAGTTTAAATTTAAGAGGGGATCATCCAGATAAAAAGAGTTTACCATTTAATATATTACAATACGAAGAATGGTTTCTAAAAATCCATGGCTTAGGTAAAATGCATTTTTTTTCTATATGACAAAGTTCAGAAAAATACTATTTGTAGTGTGTGTAATATTTTCACAGCTTTCACTTGGAAAAAAAATAATTTATAGTCGAGTTATGAGTTAAAACATTTTTAAAAACGGATCAATTTGAATATTATATTGATATATTACAATCCTTTACTCGCACCACACATATTTGGATAACTATAGATATAATAAATTCACTATCTTTTGGATATTTTCGACAACCCTAAGCGAAAGGGACGCACTGGAAAGCGAAATATGTTCAAACAAGCGGATTTGATTTAATTTACATGTCGTTAATAAAATTAGTAAAAGAGCAAGACACACACACGCACACACATGGGGGGATAGTTGGAGATACTTATTCGGATGCTGTAAGCAATTGTTCGAGCAACGGTAGCCATGTATCTATGTATCTGTATCTGTGCATTGTACACTTTAGGAAATCCCCGACTGATTTTCCCATTTTCCAGCTTTACCTGAGACTCACTGATTTTCGCCTCCTTTCGACTAGTTTGTTTGTTTTTTAATCGCCGCTTTTTTTCTGTTTGCTGGCAATCATCTACATTGACACGGCTGCAATTGCAGTTGGATCGTTTTCTTTTTTCTTTTTTTTTGGAATGGTAATGGGAATTGAATTAAAAGTCCATGTACGTGTACAATGTACAGCGAACGAGAGCGGTGCCTTCTGTGTTTTTATTTATATTTATTTATATTATTATTTTTTTTTTTGTATTTATTCAGACGCCACTTTCGGCTTAACGAGCTGGTGGCTTTCGGTGCTCAGTGTTCAGTGTTCAGTGTCTAAACCATCGGCGTTGAGCTGAACTCGGCGACTAAAATATTTCGTATTGAATTTGATGAGTTCCGCTGGGCAGCCGCCGCCGCACGGTAAAAAGCCGCTGCCGTCGGCGTCGGCAGATTGCGACTCGTCGGCTGTGGGTGTGGGTTGGTGGGCGGTTGGCGGTTGGGCGGTACGGGTACGATCAGCCCGAGGGAAACACACACACGCACACACAGCGAAACAGAAAGCGGAGATACAGGTGGGCCCACAGGTGGCATCGCCAGCCAGCCTCCTTTTTTCCCGCTAACCCCATCGCCACCGAAGGCCCAATTTGAAGACTATATAGCCTTGCAGCTAGAACCATATCATACCATTAAAATAATATAATACAGAAACCTTATAAACCCCAATTTTTTTTATGAAGATAGCTGTTATAGGAACTAAGCTATATGATAGAGTAATCCGATTTTTCTATGATTTAAAATTCTTAATCTTAAAAATACTGTAAGATAAAAAAAAAATACCAAGCTATAATATTTTTTATATATTTATTTTTCATTAATTTATCGATCGTTTCTATTAAATAGTCGTCAGACTAAAAACAATTAAAATAAAATCCTAAAAAAATTACATAGCCCAGAGTGAAAAACAGAAGATAACCACAAAACAACAAAGCTAGAATTTTGGTTTTAGTATTTTTTTTTCTATTATTTCAATCCTTCTTATGGGACTTAGATCCATTCCGACTTATATACCACTAGAAAGAATACCTTTTTCAGATAGTTTTATCCCCATAGTTCAAAACTGATACACTTTCAATAGAAACGGACAAACGGACGGACAGGCGGACATGTCTAGATCGATCCGTGTAGTGATGCTAATAAAGAATATATGTATATACTTAATGGGGTCGGTAATGTCTCTTTTTTTTGCGGTGCATTCTTATAACTGAAATTATAATACCCTCTGCAAGGTTATATAAAAGGTTTCTTATAAATTATTAAAAACAACCAATTAAAAATTCCCCTCGAAACCTGTTCTTTAGTCAAATTGGGAGTCACTGATCTCCATCGAAATGTAGTCTACCATTGTCAATAAAGTCTTCTCTTAATTTATTTTAGATCCCAAGAATGATCATGACATTTTCGTGTTTTAAAGGAATGAGCATTTATTAAGGTTTTTAAAACGCAGCAAAATATTTGTAAACTACATTATAAACTATTTAATAAATATTTTCGCATTTTGAATTTTATCGATTGCAATCGAGAAAATGGTCCTAATTGTTTTTTAACTTATAACAGAGGTTTTTACAATTTCATGCCCTCGCCTAAATTTATGTTAAGTTTTAAGCATCCAACCAAAGAAGTAAGAACCTATTTTCCCTTCAGAATTAACTAAAATTAAATTACTAAGAGCAATGGCTAAAATCACAAATAACCTTGCTCATCTTTATAAAACGTTTAATTTCCTACAATTGGGTTGCAATTAACTCGGTATTTACACCTCCTCTCGAAGGCAATTAAAATGTGTATGATATGTGTGTATTTTATTATTCAATTACTAAATAAGTTACGTCTTTCTAAAGCAGTGTGTATATTGTAAAAGCGACAATTAAAGTTTTCAAGAATTTCTAAAATGTTCAAAGTATAAATCCGTTTCTCAAGAAGGCAAATTAAAAAACAAGCAAATAAAATTAAACTTACAACAAAGTTTCACTCCGGGCAACACACATATGTCACGACAAAATTCAATTGAAATATTGCCGGGGAATAACCAAGTGAAATGCAATAAGTAATCAATCACGAATCAATTTAGGTATTATAAATACACGACCAATTATCAAAACAGCGTTGATTGAGTAAGGGTAAGGTTGGAATTAGGTTTTTGTGTAAATATTGTATCTATATTTTACAGAGCCAGAAGATTTTGGGTTCATGGTTGTTCAACTTTTCATTCAATTAGTACGTTTGATGTTCTAAAGCTTCTGTTTGCAGCTCGCTCTTGAGCGCTGCCCGTAATTATCGCACTTGCTGCCACTTTTAATAACACCAACTGTGATCATAACTATGATGATAGCCATGATGGTGATGATGGGCTTCGCTGGGCGGTGGGGTTCACCCACCCGAACGCCCACGTGGCCTTGACTCACAAAGCCACAATGCCGCGGAGACCGCAAAAGGCGCATTCATTGACTGCAGATGCAGATGCAGATGCTTTGGGTCTTTGCTCGACTGCAGTCGAAAGATACGTCAGCGATGCCAAAGGTACTGGTCTCTAAATGGGTAAAATTATATCGAAACAGGTGAGATAAAGTATAGGGGAGTTCTAAAGTTGGGTTAGAAACATTATTATAATTTTTCAATGATGCCAAGTATTACACACTGTGTTGAATATTTTTAAATGATGCCAAATGTTTCACATTTTTAAATCAAAAATAAATCTAATATCTAAATAGGTAACCATATTCGAACCAGGTGACATAAATTGTAAAGGAGTTCCTAAGTTGGGTTACTAACATTTTCATCATTTTTAAATGATGCCAAGTAATACACACTGTATTAAATATTTTTAAGTGATGCCAAATGTTTCACTTATTTAAATTCATTTTTGATTTCCAATATCTATCTATCTATCAGATAAAAAAGAGGCAGGCATTTTTAATCAAAATATTTTTAAATTTGTGAGATAGACATTAATGGTAAAATTCAAAGCTAAATCAAGCTCGTATTTTATTTTAAAAGAACCCAATATACGAAATCAATACTTCCGCCAATTAAAATGGAAAATGATGGTAATTTAATCTAATCTACCTTACTGGTAGATATTGTTAAAGGTTTTTTATTTTTTTAAAAATTAGAAAGGAAGTACAAAGTAAAAACGAAAAGTTATAGATACCATTCAGTTTTGTACCTAAGTAGGGTACCCCTTTAGTACTCAGATACAACTGCCTAGATGCGGCAAAAATATCTATAGATACATAAGTATAACTGGCCGTAATGAGATAGTGATTAAAAGCAGCATAGCTGCAGTCACCCGATCTCGGCACCCGACCCTCCAGCCGGTAATCAAGCAACAATATTTAGTTATTTGGTAATTCAATGCAAAATAACTGGTAAGTGGGCACGTTGCTCCGTGGCTCGGAACGCTTTTGTCCGCTTTTGCTGATTAATTTCCAATTGTTGTTGTGTTCGAACACCCTTCACTTCGCCGATCGACTGGCAATGCAAATTTATATACCTATTGCTTCATTCTGCACTTGCAGTTTTGTTCAGCATAATTACTGGAAACCCTAGATCGCAAGACAATACAATGTAATTGCAGCCTCATCTGCGACATCTGTCGCCATAAATCAGCCATTGTCCAACTATGATATTGATCTATGATTTACCCTTTCGCCACGAAAAAAAAAAAAACACAAAACACCTTACGAAATTACCTGAAACTTTATCCATCCATCCAAGCGAAATGGCCGTTTGACATACTTAACTATTCAAACTCGTTTGCATTTAGCGGAAGAATCTCGAAAAAAAAGAAGACATGCATGTGGCAATCGATTAATTAACTTGAATCTATTAAAATGTCTAGGCAACTAGGTAGGATAGCATCGATAGCATCGCCCAATGGCGTCATATTTCTCCAAAAACTGCTCCGTCATCTTATATAAGTTTTATATAAACAAGGTTAGGCGATTTATACAATTTTCACCCAATTCGCTGGCAATATAAACAAATACTCTTTGCACACTTTCTCCCGATCACTTGAGAGTGTCGTTGCCCAATTGATTAATTGTGTTTTGTCGCTAATTAACCGAATCCATTGACGTTTTGCATATAAATTCGAAAGGTAATTATTAACCGCCGATCATTAGACCAAAACAAACAACGAAGCCAACTTTACGTCAAGCGAAAGATAAACAAGTTTTTTTTGGGCAAAAAGCCCAAGAAAAAGGTTAAAAATATTAGCAGGTGAGATCTGAAATACCCTTTTAAAAGAATTTTATCTTATAGAATTCTTAACTTATGTAGAGAAATATAGAAAAATACTAAAGCTCTGATACAAATTTAGCTCTTTATCATTTTCTTGAGTTATTATTATCAACCATCATATTTTAATAGTTTTCTTTTTTAAATAACATTTTCTTAAACTTATAATATATTAAAATAATATTATATATTATAAAATAGTATTGTATTATATCATTAAGCCCTTTTTTATAATTTTAAGAACTTGTTGTTTTACAGGGAAACAAAAATCACAAACAAGCTTATGGAACCCACCAATCACTTCAGATAATTTTATTCGCAACACCGAAAGCCTTTTTTAAAGTAGATATGAACAGATAAATAAATATAAATTTTTTTTGGGTTAGCTATGGTAAGAGATCGGTGTTAAAAGTTGGTCCAGCGCAACAAATGTGGTTAAAATCCAACGGCAAAAAGAATGCCTCAGTGGAAGTGCCAATCAAAATGGTCAACTTGAGTCACAAATTGTGTCTAATTCTGGCCGAGTTAAAATGCCAGTTGGCAACACTCACTTGCTGGGTTTTTTGGGTTAGTTGGGCAAAAAAAGAAAACTGAGAAGTGAATAAAATATAGGGTATGTCGGGCATTATTAGTACAAGGCTAAAGTAGGAAAAAAAATAGAAACAAGTTTTTTAACTAATGTTTAGACTGCTAAAGAATTAATTTTCATAAATACTTGTATATCTATTGCTATATAAAACACACTTAAAAGACTAGGTCATTTTCAATTCAGTTTGATTTTATTTATATCATTTTGATAATACTCATGGTCGTTTGATATTAGGTGCATATATCTAGATAATATAATTTATTCACATCATTTTTACATTATTCATATAATTTTAATATAATTTATTCATGTCAACTTAACATTATTCCTATCAATTTGATAGTATTCATATTAATTGAATGTTTTGCATTTTGATCATCATCAAATTTTATGTTGTTCATATCAATTTAAAAGTATTCATATATATTCTAGCTAGCTTAGAAAAATTAGGAAAAAACCGAAGTTCATACCAAAATGTTAGTTGTAA